AAAATAAAGTCTGAAATGCCAGGGCTCCTCTCAAAGGGATTAAAGAGGATGTTTTTGTACTGAATTCGTGTACAGTCCCTCTTTCGCACTATAACAGGGAGGGAGCAGCACAATACAGCGAGCCGTTTGCACTTCGGGCTACGCATTCCTGGGCACTGTGGCATATAAACGGACAAAAGGAATTCTCATGCAGCCGTGCTGAGCCAAGCTATTGTCAACGAAAAAACACAGACTCAGGTGTAGTGGCGCTCACATTGGCTGCGCACACACGGGAGGATTGTGGAGGCTGGGCAGATTGGCCTACATATGGCTGGAGGCCTGGTGCAACTTTAGCGCTGTGCAGTCATGAGTGTGTCGTTTTGAACCCACTCACTCCAAGTCCCAGCCGCCTAGGATCTCTCAGCGAGAAAAGACTGACTAAATATGTGATGAGCTTGGCTGCACGAGGATTCACACACACACATTGAATAGGCAGACACACGAAGATTTCCAGTTGCAAAAAAGAAGTAGGCAACTCCGGCTCACGTGCGATAATTACAGCCTGGGAGACAAAGCCTAGCATCGTGAGAACAAGGCCCGCTTGATGAGGCCTCTCTATTTAAATCCCAGGGATGAGCCGAGAGTGTGTCGGTCGATGGAATCGCTCCAGGAGACATGCAACGGCTTGGAAGGAAGAAACAGCCATGGCACTGAAAAGAAAGCGGAGAAACAGACGGAAGAAGGGCACAGTAGTGGGAAGGTGTCTTTGAGGACATGAAGGCAATCAGAAACTACACTGGAAAAAATGAACCGTTGACTTTAAATGTATTATATCAACAGATGACACATAATTGTATTAGGTTAGTTGAAAGCAATAATGCTAAGTTGGACATAATATTTCTTATTTAAACGTAATATTATTGCTTTCAACTAACCTAATACAATTATCGGTTGAGTCATTTTTTCACTATACTGTTAATCATAGAGACTTCAATATTGAGCGAACACCACTGATATTTTTTATTGAAGAAATGTTCTCTCTGCAGGGCTTGGAAATGAAGGTTTGACTGAGAGAGTGGGGGTGTAAGTGTGTGTATTAGCAGCCGGAGAAAAAGGTAGGGCTCTGGGATTAGTACCTTTCCCTGCGCCGATCTATAAGCACCCAGTGTTTCTTGTCGCTAAGAGGATTCACATGGATACGGGGCTGTCCCAACAATCGAAAGCGCGACTTTAGACACTAATCTACCATTTCAAGGGCGGGCGACGCTGATTCTAAGCTGATGGGGCACGTGCTGCTGCCTTCAACTTGATTGACACGGCACAACGTGGAAGTCAAAGAGGCTATCTGTGCATCTAGAGGCGAGTGGAAACAACCTCCGCCACACACAACAATGAATTGAGAGATCATTATCAAACGCAAGTGCTTCTCCTTGTTGTTTTGGGGGTTTTTCAGGCGTGAAAAGTCACAGTCTGTCGTTGCCCAGTATCTTGATCACCTCTGTATTGTAGCGACGCCCTGGGTTGTCCCGGCTATTCAGGGCCACACAAAAGGCCCTCATAGGGAATCATTCAGCCTCGCTAACGGACAGCCAGATAGCACCCGCCCCGACAATCACAGCCACCTCTGGGAATTCATTTTGCAATTGTTCACTATCAGCCCATATCCAGAGCAAATACACACGGAGGCACACAGTAGCTCACTTTAATATCAACGCTCGCCTTCAAGCACGCACAGCACAAACACACACTTAAGATGATAAGAGGAAAAACTCTGCTGCAAGAGGACTGAAACCAGAGACCAATAAGTGGCTCTAAAATACATTGGGTGGGTTTGTTCTCCTTCTCCCTGTGCACAAGTAGGATTTCTGAACTTCAGGTGATTGGATCTGCTTTTCCATTTCTCAAGAGCAACATTGAATCGCTTATATTTGCAAAGAAACCCTATAAAGTCAGTCCTCCAGCATAAAGTCAGATCCATACAAGCTCCATCTCGAATTTAGAAGTGTGTTTACATAACTTGACACAAAAAATGTTTTGGGATGTTATGACAGGCACAAATATCTGATGTTGTGTTCGTAATGCTCTGATGTTTTCATACTGTTTTGGTCAGGACTGTGGTAATCTCTTATGCTTAAATCAGCAGAGAATAACATGTACTGAATGCAATAACTGATATTCTGTATTTCATTAATCCAGTGAGCAAATGCCTCAGAATGACGCAATTCCCCGGGTAAACCTGCTGTGGGGTTCTACCCTGCGCCATATTTCTGAATAACACAGCTGCTCACCATGGATGTTCCTCAAGTGAGTGACATTGAAATAAAACATTTGCTTTGGAGGGATATGAAATGTAGTGGTGAGCTAAGGCAAAAACCTCTTGAAGCCATGATTGCATACTATAAAGCCTATGATACAGAGATGCTCAGATGAGATGGGGGGGAACACAGCTGAAGAAACAAATGCTCACTATCTGGAAATCTCACAAGTATCCGACAAAATAAATGCGTTTAGTTTACACAGCTGAAGTAGCCGCAGAAGGCTTGCAAAAAGGAGAAACAAGAGGGCCGCTCTGGTCCAATGACACCTCGACAATCGCAGTGCACAAAGAGATGAGGAACAATGAGAGGAGAGAGGTGGAGGAGAGGGAATAAACCCTCCCTGACCACCAGCCAGCGTCTCGCAGGAGCTCTCACCGGCTCCTAAATTCAAGCTCAAGGTCCAGAGGAGTGCGTTCAGTCTGCGTGGCAGCACAGAAATGTCTAACTCAGTCCGCACACACCAGCAGCTTCACTGACAACAACAGTATCTGGCTGTCCAGTCGTGACATGGTTCGAAACAAATGAGAACTACACAGGACAGAGAAACAACACAGCATTGGTGTCTTGTTGGGAGAATGACACGTTGATGTTTAACTTGATGCTTGAATGAATTAGCACTTTGTGAATGTGTAACCCTTTAATAAGTTAAAAGGAATACTTCACCCACAAAGACCATTTGTTTCTCAATTGCTCAGCTCTGTGTGACCTTGAATTGGTGAAGAACATGTCTCATGCTTTAATGGTGAAGAAACAACCACAATCGAGTCAATTGAGGACACAAAAGCTTTAGTGTTTTAAACAGTTTTGCATACAGTCTAGCACTTGCAAAGGCGCACTGCTCGTCCATGCAGTGTGTGTTTGAAATGGCACGATTTGAGAGAAAATCCATGCCCTTGAGAAGCAGTGAGTATACAACTAGATAAATGAGACTTGGATGACACGGCAACAAGTGCTGTCGGAGAGATGTAAACTGATGTTTTGTTTGCCGTTTAAATGGGCCCCAATTTACTCAACTTCAACAAGACTTTTCGTTTTCTTTTTTTGATTCATCGTCCAAGAACAGGCATTCAAGAACAACAACGTTTTGTTCAATAATTCAAAAATAACACAGGATGAGTTATCGATATACACATGGTAATTTTAGGTGAAGTTGTGCTAAGATGTCCGTATGTTAGATGTAACCTAAAAGAAAGTCTGCTTTGGATTTGTTTTTCTTTGATCCAGCTCAGTTGTGTTCATATTTGTGTTCTACCTTACAGATGCTAATGGTTCTACTTTTCAACGTGAGCCTCTAGGCCTCGGTTCCCTGTAGTTCATTTGGAGGCAAATGAGGCTGGTGCAAGAAAAAGGGAATATCCATATTCTATGCAAATAAAAATGCCATATCAAACAAAGAAAGCCCTGTCCTGCAGGTCAGCCATTGACTAAAGCCACAGGAATCCTCAGCATGCGCCCTAAAGTCATGGCGCACAGCAGCCACCATACACTTCTCCATTTAATCTGGGTGACTGATCAGGAAAAAGCATTGATTTCATCATTCAATCATCTCAGGAGAGTCTGTCCAGTGTCGATCTGAACATCTATGCAGCAGACGCTCCCTGCAGATGGGACAGGTCCTTTTTTAGAGACTGTGCAGCTGCAGCATGGATTTGTTGAGGACATAATAACCATTATTTCCCCCCCCCAACACAATGGCAGCCAATACTGCCTCAAAATGGCCGAGACTTTTGTCGCAAATGCAGGAGAGGGAGAAACAGTCCCTGATAAGCACTTTGCACAACAGTGGCAGGAAGAGAGGTCTTGTTAAAGTGTTTTGCTTCAGCTGTGAGCAGGAACACTTGTGTTTACTCTCTGGGGGGTGGCAGTGGTGGTGGTAGTGGTGGGGGGGGGGTTGTTTGCTCTGAAAATGGGTGCATTGTTACCCGATGACACACATGTCTGACACTGCAGGCATCAGGACAATAACTGGTGAGCCAGCAGGGAAATAGGACATCAGGTTAGAAAGGAGTGTGTATCTGACAAATGGTTCAAATTGTAATAAGGACTACAAATAAATCACAATTAAGTATAAAAAAGGGGTCTGCCTGCATCGAAGGGGGGCCAACCTGTTGACGTAAAAAAAACTGTATGAAAATGCATTAAAAAAAGAATGTCCTCCTCTTTGTTCTGAGTATAAATTATACACACACATGATGGACCCACTGTAACACACAGAAGGAAGTATAGGCTCCAGTTGTGATCCAGTGCAGGAGTCCTATGTGTCCCCAAAGGCCTGACAAAGCGCCTGCTGTCTTTCATTTGATCTCTGCAGCAAACCCTGCTGTAATTCTTCCTCCAGCACCTTCAGACCGCTCCACTCACATCAATAAACTGCAAATCAGAGCTGAAGAATGACCTGAAAGCAAGCCTAGTAATATTTAACTGCATCTCCGATATGATGCCAGCCTTAAGGAACACATTTGAACTATAAAGTAAAAGTATTATGTAAATAATTTCATGAGTAACATAAATCAATCTGATCCCTCAATATTATTTTTACACTAGTGTGGGAAACATCAAGCGAGATAAAACTGTTATATCCACAGAGCGTATGCCTCATGAGGATAAATCCAGGCCAAACAGATTTGCTTTTGAATGCAACACTGGCGTTTTGATCCGAGTCAGGATAGCCTGGCACAGAATGGATCAGAAAGCTGTACATACCTCAATGTAGCCACCCAGCGCTGGAACCACAATGCCCAAAAGAAGGACTGATATCGCGGGGACTGGACCCATCTTCCAGGATCTCCGCTTCGCTGCTGTAAATAACTTGTATCCTGAAAGCGGAGTGTGAGCTGACGTCCCGGGGAATAGAGCGGGAACGCGTCCTGGTAATAATCTGATAATCTGTCCCGGAGAGCGGGACGGGTCCTGCTCCGCTTGTTTTGTTACCCGAGCTCGACAGAAACGTTGTCTGACAGACTGAAGTCTTTGGGTCTCCTCTGGAACTGTGGGCTGAGAGTGTGGCGCCGCTGATCTGGCTCTCTGCCCCCTCCCTCTGCTGCTCCGTTGCCCCCTCCCTCCGCTGGATCCACCGCAGAGAGCCACCGCGCCCCCCGGCGGCAGGACCGATGTAGTGACACAAGATTCAAGGCTTTTATTGTCACATGTAGCCTCCATAGCTACAGTGAGTGTAGTTATGACAATTACATTCTTAGGTCACAGGCTCCTCCAACAGTGCAACACATTAACACAGATAACAGTGCAAGCAAATCAAATAACATAGAATATCATAGAAATTGTGCAGAATAGTCTATACAGGTAATTGGAACACACAATGTAGGACTAATAATAGTAGTAGTAGTAGTAGTAGTAGTAGTAGTAGTAGTAGTATTTTGTAGTATAGTAGTAGTAGTAGAAGTAATAGTAACCAAAATCAGTATTACTAGTAATAGTACTAATAAAAGCCTTGCATTAGTATGAGCTCATACTAATGCAAATATTTTAGCCTACTAATAAAATATTTGCATTTTACTACTACTACTACTACTACTACCACTACTACTACTAATAATAATAATAACATAATGGTAAATAATACTAATACAAATACGAATAGGCATACTACTGCCACTACTATAATAATAATAATAATAATAATACAAATAGTATATGAAATCGTTTAACACCAGTCTAACCATAATTACAATAAGTGGTGAAAAGATTTAAGATACTTAAAGGTAGGGTAGGTAAGAATGGAGAAACCAGCTCGAGTGCGCTAGAATTTGAAAGTACACAACCAGAAAAAATCTGCCTCTTCCTTCAGACTTCCTTACAGAGCCCCTCCTCCAACATACACGAACGCGCACATGACCAATGAGGGCACGAGATAAGTTTGTGCACAGATGGAAGGCTGACAGGCAGGTAGGGCATCCAGTTACTTTAGCCGGGCCGGCTAAAATTATTGGTCGTGCTTTTTACAGTACTACGGCTTCCACAGATGACATTTTTTTATGTATTTACTGTCAAAGCATTTAATATATTCATTGCTATCGGGATGTTAAGAGCATTCCATGGAATATAACAAAAAGTGTTTCTGAAGTGAATTACCTACCCCACCTTTAATAAAAAAGGTGGCACTTTCAAATATTTGCAATCTTTATTTACAAGGCATATATTTTAATTTTCAAGTTTTATTTGTCACATTAGCTTGACATAAATGGAAAAACGTATCAAACATCAAAATGTGTGTAGGGCTATAGCGAGATAAAGTAGAAACAAAAGGATAACTTCCAATGGGTGCAGGCCAATATCATGCTTTTAAATGTGTAGCCTACGACCATTTACATTTAGAGCTATAGCTAATAGATAGTTTGCACGTCAAGAAAGTAACAATCCAAGACATATATTCAAATAGTGAACACAAGTACAGTTATGAGGTATTTATACTTTACTTTTAGGGGGACATATTTGTGGGCTAAAATTACACTTACCAGTTCTGAAGATGTGTTGGTATCCTGCCGACAACGCCAATTTGTGGGGGAAACTTCTGAACAATTGGAGTCAGGACTCAGAGAGACACGAGGAGAGATGGAGCTTTGATGGCAAACACTGATGGTTTATTTGGAGCTTCGGCCGGAGAATTCACAAGACATGTCACGGGCCACGAGTTGACCACACGGTAAAGATGCCACAATCAATTCTGAAGAACTCCTTCTGTAGCTCGAGGTTTTAACTAGTTCAGAGTGTAATAATCAACATTCTTCATCAGCGAGACTAAACCTACGTTCCTGAACAGTAAACCAGCTCATGGCGGCTTGTGCTCTGTCATAGACTGGCAACAACAATGCGCCCAAGCTGCTCCTCCTTAAGAGAGATAGCAGCAATACCCAAGGCCGTAGACCAGGGGTGCCCAACCTTTTTTGAACCGAGAGCTACTTTTAAAGTTCCCAGTCTGCCGAGATCTACCAGTCCAAATAGAGAGGCCTTACTGACAGCCTGCTACCAGGTAAATACACACTTCTACTTGTATAAAACTGACCTTTGTACGATTAATACTTTATAAAATACTGCAGATACTTTATCTTACCTCTTTCTAATCTACACACATACAAGTATTTAACTGAAGTTACACAACAGTGTTGTTGATACAGAGTTGGAGTTTATTCACACGTCACTACAGTGGGTCATGTTTTCAAGAAACATTGAACAGTGCTGCCTCATATGACTCAGGAAGAAAAGAAAAGACTCTGAACCCTTTATTTGACATTATATAAAAATAGTGTTGCTACAAAAGTATAAATGAGGCTTACTAATAAGACAACTCAGATCTGAAGCTACTCGGGAATCTGCTGCCAAAGTGCAATAAAAAAGACAAAATTAATAGAATCAAACCCTTTTTTTGTTGCATTTTAGTAGAGTATAAAAAGAAATGCCTTTTAAAATAGGATGCAAGCAACACTAGTTTCTTAAACTGAATTGATAATAGACTATAATCAATTTAAGTTTGCATTCTTATACCATTTTGTACAATAATTATAATGAATAAGTTCAAACAAACTAAAACTTACAGCTGATTAATAACGGTATCTAACTTGAGTTTTTATTATATCAAAAACCCAACCTGATCTCACCAGAATGCGTGACTCCACCACGCAACCTTAACACCGCATTGCGTGGTGGAGTCACGCATTCTGCTACATTTACGTGTCGGCACCACGCAAAAAACCCCAATGTAAAGTGAATGAGGCTCTTTTGTCGTGGTGCACACACGCATTTCTACAACGTCCCGCAGTGAGCTTTTATTCTATAAAAATGTAAATCTACTTTATAGCTTGTAGTAACTCACAGGAGGCTTCTTTTATTTTATTTGTATTCATAATAATTTGTATTTGTCGTCAGAATGTATTATGGTGCATTAGTCACACATTTTTGTTCTCAAAAAACAGTGCATTGTGTGTAATACAACTGTGATTTTGATTAAATTAGTTAGTTTTTAAGGAAGGCCAGAGCTTCAGCTGTGTCAATAGATTGTTCCCTTTAGTTAACGTTATTTAAAAGATAATGATCATGTCCCCTTTATTGTATTACGAGCATCCATTCCCATTGGATAACGGAGAATTTTACACCCGGAAGTAAGTATTCTCCTTACTGTCGATTGATTTTACAGTGATATCTGCACTACTCATCAACTCAAAAACACCAGATTATCCTTGTTAATTACACAACATTGATTGGTTTAAATTGTGTACAATGCTTTTGTATTTTCCCCTTCGATTCGGAGAAACGAATATTTGTTCGGAGTTTTTGGATGGCAGAAGACACTACACTACCCAGAATCCTCAGCTATCGTTTGGGACTACACCATGTGCTCTGTTTGACAAACCCCGTGATCAGTCCTCAAGCTCTGTGATTGGTTGACCTCCAACTGCATTCCATATGAAAAAAAAACGTTTCGTAAAAGATAAAATCATACTTTATTCAGCAGTGCTTGCTTTACTCTTTGAAAGTCATCACATTAATGCATTGTAATAAATGGTTTGGCTGCATTAAATATTACACATCTATCGTAGTTCTTTATTTATCTACAGAGATCGGGCATCAGAATAGACCGGAAACTATTCTTTTACCGTTCTGTTTTAATTTCACAATAAAGTTAGTAGTAATAATCTGTTTTGATATTATTGTTTTTTATTAACTACTAGACCGCTGGGTCATGTTAAGACCATCTTTTCTGTGTTACTGTGGGTTTTTTCCATCGCTTTTGTTACAAATATCAAAACAATAACAACATATATCCGTCGTAAACTAAACCAGAAACAGCAATATATTTTATTTTGTTAACACTTTAAACTTGACAGTTTTTTAACCCGCACCTCCTACTGGTTAAAGCACGTTATTACACGTTTGGAGTAATTGCAATGCAGAAAGATTATGTTGCTTTTTAATGACTGTTTAAAATGCATTTTTCTTAATGTCTTTCATTTTTGTAAAGCACTTTTGAATGTGTTATATTTGATGAAAACATTTAAATATTAAGAGTACATACAAAATAGTGGGAAAGTAGAAGGTCAATGATATAAATATAGAATAGAAAATATCAAGAAGATACTGTAAATAATATCTACAACAAAACAGTTTAGTGCCTGATAGGAGGATGTGCAAAACAGACAAACTAATAAGGCTTTATTTAAACATTAAAGAATACTTTAGGCTAAGGTCTTCTTTTAAATAAGAAAAAAGCTTTGGGGGTATCTATCTACAGATACATATTAAGCCTGACAAAGTGCTTAACGTCTAATATATTGCATGGTTTGTTTTGGAACTTGACAATCAACTTTCCTGCAATGTTAACTATGTTGAAGCATTTATTTTAACTGATATTATACACATTAATTATACTCTTATGTAGATAGTATAAGAAATGTGCAGAATATGACAGTTTAATGGTGGAGGTACACACATATTGATAGATGTCTTGTAATGCACTGTTGAGGAACCTGTGACCCAAGTTTTTCATTCATTGCATAACTACACCGTAGTTGTGTATATGATATGTCAATAAACCTTTGAAAATCTTGAAATCTTGAAAGGGATGTGCAAAATATCAATTATATGCAGTCTTTAATGAACGATTAGAGAATAACGAGTAATGAATATGCTTTATACGGATCTGCAGATAAATGTTTAGTCTTCTCGAGCACCAACTATCAAATATCTCTCCTGATTGTTGGCACTTGACAATCACCTTCACTGAATTTTACTCAGGTGTAACTAAAGTCTGATTTAAGGGTTGTTTATATTTCACATCATTAATCCAAATCTGTAAAGTAACTAAAATAAATGTAGTGGAGTAAAAACACCATGTTAACCTTAAAGAAAGCCCTCAGGATTATAAAAGACCCCCATCACCCCAGCCACAAACTGTTCTGTCTGCTGCCGTCTGGCAGGCGGTACTGCAGCATCCGGACTAAAACCACCAGACTCAGGGACAGCTTCATCCCACAGGCCATAAGACTATGAAACACCTGAACTT